TGTGTGTGTGTGTGTGTGTGTGTAGGTGGGGGGGGGGTGATCATGATGAACTTACAAAAACACACTTCCAAATTTTCATGCCATGATATTAAGAGACATGGTTGATTCCAGTATTCATTCAGTAACTAAGTTAAATTAAACTTTAAAGAACTAGTCAACCATTATTGTGAATGTTTCTTCCTGTTAAAAACTCCTAAAATTATGTTYTCAAACTCTTTTTGTTGAACAAACTGACAAAGTATTTTTTTTAACAAAGAGAAACACAAGTGCATCACATGAAACCTGTGTAAAATAGAGAAATGGGAAGGCAGAACATAAATTGTACATTAGCTATAAGTGTTTGCTCTTGTTTTTCTAAAAATAAAAACACTTTCAGGATAAATTTTATTTTTTTAAAGAACTATAGCCTACAAATCTGTTTTAGACAAATTATCCTCCTGARTTTCCTCTTCAATCGGTGATGATTTGTAAATAAATCCGATTAGCTTGTAAGGAGATAAAGCTATAATTCCACATAGGATTTGGGAGCTCTTTGAAATGAATGTTGTTGAGCACAGTCCATATTCTTTAAGCTATTTACATTTAGCCTTTGGTYAAWTTTAGCTRGTCTTTTGTTATTTTTAGCRATCTTTTTGCTACTACAGGTTTTAGTTACCCTTTTGATAAATTCAGCTTGTGATTAATGCTTTTAGCTAATCTTCTGATAATTTTAGCTTGTGCTACTTTTAGTTTTAACTATTTTGCTTTTAGGTGTTTTGCTACTTTCAGTTTTTAGCTTATTGATTTTAGCTGTTTTACTAATTTTAGCTTACCTTTGCTACATCTAGCTTTTAGCTACCTTTTTACTTTTAATTTTTACTCCTTTAGTGTTTTGCTACTTTTAGTTTTTAGCTGTTTTACTGTAGCTTTGCTCTTTAGATTGTAGCTACAATTTGTTTCATGCTTTTGTTTTGCAACATTTAGTATTTTGCTGCTTTTATTTTCTAGTAAGCATTTTTGCTACTGTGTGCTTTTAGCTAGTGTTCTGCTTATTTTGCAATTCAGTTTCAGCTTCTTTCAGCAACACATGCAGAAATGCAATTTCTCTAGTGTTATTTTTCATGTTTGCTTATATCAAGAGCAAAACCCAGTTAACAGAAAGATTTTGAGTTAATGAGAGGAAGCTGCGAGGCTCACAGTGAGCTTTAGCTGTCTGTGGTCTCAGGTGTGCWGGTCGCTGCTTATTATGAAACCAGTGAAGCGCGTCGCAGCCAATCAAAGCTGAGAAGCAGAAAATTAGTTCTTTTTCTCGCTCTTCCTCCGAGCTGCAGTTCGCCACATCGGCCACTAGATGGCGAAAAAACCCCGTTCTCGACGGGCGGCTGGTCCCTGGGTATCGTGCGCTCTCTCCGCGGCCCCCCCGAAGGAACAAGCGGATTCCCAAAGTCCAGTTGAAGTGCGCCGTCCTGATCCTGCACATCTTCAGAGTAAAAAGCTGTTCGGAGCGCCTCCTCGTCGCGGGTTCGAGCTGCCAGCGACACGAACCGGGTCGAGCTCTGCAGTGTGAAAAGGGAGGGTTGTGAAGAGAGGTGGACAGGGGGGGTGTTGGAGGTGGTGGCGGTGGTGGAGGGGGGCACATAAAGGACCACATGAGTGAGATGGGTCCGGAGGMGGTGAGGCAGGCATCCGTGATTGTCAAGTGAACGGCGGCCGAAGTTCTTCTGCTCCGCTCGGATCTTCTCCTGCAGGACACTCAGGTGAGTTTGCTTTTTTCTCTGCAGGAAACTGGAGCAGTTTTCAGACCCAATTCTGGATTTTCCCCCAACATATGACTCACATATAATGTAATAATGCATGCAACCTAATAATTATCAGCTTGATGTTTATTGTTTTGGTCAAAGACAGAAAGATAAAACTATTATTTAAAAAAAATATAAGAGATGACCTATTTTATTCTCTTACTAACATGAGGAAAAATATAATTTCCTGAAGAGAGAGGCTCCACCATCCCATCTCATTTTACTTCTGTTTGCTTTCTTCTCCATCCCTCGCCCACAAACTCTCCACATCCCATATGTCAACTCAAAAACCACAGAAAGTTTGTGGCTCCAGTCAAGTTCACTTTGCATAACCCAATGAATTTTCAGGTGCACAATCAAAAAAAAAAAAAAAAAAAAAAAACATGCTGGTTTAGGTGGCTGAATGTTGCCTCTTTCTTTGGCTGCTAATCAATATGTGACCGACCAATTACAGCAGGTGTCATGGACCTTCCTGTGACTGAAGGGTTGGTGCCAGATCTCTGTCACAGTCACTGTTGCATATGTGAGGGTGAATGGTCACGCTCACAAATCTGCCATGCACACACCTGAGTCAAGGGTCAAGGCAGTCGAGCGGCGGTGATTGTCACAGTGTGCAGGAAATCAAAGCACGCAGCGGCTTGATTCTGACCCAGCTCTCTGCAATCAGTCCCTGCTATTCTGGCTTTTATTTCAGAATGACAGGGAAAAACATAAAATGTGCCAAACTCTTCTTATGCTATTTGAGTAATCCAGAAGAGCACGGAAAGTGAAGTCTCTGCATCTACAAGAAACTGATTTTTCCCGCCAAGAAAGTTCAAAAAGGAAAAAAAAAAAAAATCAAACCAACAAATGAGATTATTTTGATCTTTTGTGTGTTTTCCTAAACTTTGCCCAGTTGAGTTTTGTGAAATTTTCTAATTTTTTTCACTTTTGTCATGTTTTACCCAACAGCGTTGCGTTTTTTGCACCTCGGAGCCAGCAGAGATTGGCGTTATCGCTCGCATAAATATCCAAAATGAGCCAGCTGACGATTTTTTTTTCTTCTTCTTTTTGCGAAACACTGACGCCAGCGCGAGATCGTGTGATGAAGTGTGATGTGAAAATTAATTGTCACCTCCGGCTATGTGTAGCACGTGTGACAGCTGACGCTTTTTTTTTTCCTCTTTTTTTTTTCTTTTGCTGAACTGCAAGGGCAGATTCAGAAGATGGATGTAGGAACTCTTCCACATCTCCCTTCGCGTGTCATGTGCTGTCAACCAGAACGGACAGGCATCTGCTGTTTCCCACACACACACACACACACAGAGGGAAACAACTGGAAACTACAGCTTCTCACCACTCCCACATCGCTTGGTTGTATTTCCAAACACCTGCCATGTGGCTCGGTCCACGCTCGTTGTGTCTGTATACAGTCTGTTCACCGTGCTTATAGCTAAAAATAATCGCTCAGAACATGAATTATGGACGATGGAGGGAGAGAGAGAAAGACATTCAGGTCAGAGTCAGACCCAGTTCCACGAGCTTCCTTCTCTGAGGATGATACTACCAGACCGCAGTATTAAAATTCAGCTGGTCTCGCTCTAGAACCGGCGTTCATCCTGCAGCTTACTGGACCCAGGGATTCGTTAGAGCTCCAACCTGGACTTTAACGGTGTGCAAGCTGGCCCCATAAATTTGGGGATTAATTATGCATGTGATGCAGCTTTTCCACCATAATAGCAATAACCTGACATTTCAGTTTAGGTGTTTAGCGCTAGGCTGGTGTAGCGTTTGAGTTACCAGCTGCATTGCCCCATTAGATGTCTTGGTTTTTCTACTTTAGGGGTAGATTTAAGTGTTCTGAGAGCTGCTCTCGTTTTACTTGTCCAGCAGAATGATGCCTTCGCTGTATCTTCTCTTTAAAGCTCCCATGGGTCGATGATTTGCCTGGATACAGCTCGGTCTGGATGTTTTAAAAAAGGCCTATCAACACCTCTACAGTCCACTGATTAGCGCTTGTGTCACTTTTACACCCGTAGATTTTGTGCGCCATGAATATATCCAGCATTGCTTGTTAATTTGTGAGCGTGACAGTTGCTGGTTTGCTAATTGCRTCTCCTAAAATGGAGACGGTTTACTCCGGACTCAAGTCTTTGTTCCTAATCTAACAGCCCTAATCTTTAAGAACGAAGAACAAATAAAAACTGGCATTGATCTTTAACTTTAAACAAACTTCCAGCTCTTTCAAAAGCAGCGGGGGCAGGGCGACGGCTCTCATGCACTGGCAGATAAAATGGAGAGAGCTGAGGAAAAGGGAGACGACTGTGGAGTTCGAGACAAAGTGTAAGGCTGGAGCTTTTCAGTGAGGGTAATAGGAGCAAGGCTGTGGAGAGCTTTGAAAGTGATGTGGGGGAAGAGTCTGAAATTTACAGGATTCTGGACACGAAGCTAGAGGAGTTGTTTGCGGGTTGGAGGGATTTGTTCAGTCGTTGGAGTTCTGGTGAAAATATGAGAAGCAGAGTTGTGAACTGTGCGGTAGACCAGTAAACCGGAAGGGCTGCTTCCAGCTTGRAACAATTACCACAGATGGTTAATAGTGTGTAGATAAAAGTACGCTGAATGACTATTAATATGTTTTTCTAAAGAAAGTATTAAGATGACTCATAGACTCTTAAGTGAAGGGAGTGATTGTGGAATCATAGATGGCGATTGAGAAATGTGGACATKTAGAGAAGGTGAAATCTAAAGTTTTGGGCAAGCCAAATCTTAAGGTCTTGGAAACTTCCAGACAAAAAGGGAAGAGGTACAGAAGTGGATTTAGCAGAGAGGTTAAACTGTTAGCTTAGCAGTAAAACTGAATATTGTGCTTAATGAAAACAGAACCCAGAGKATAGAGGATAAAATATTTAAAAGTGGAGGGGTCCCAGAAATGAGCCCTGAGGAACACAACAGGTGACACCAAACGGAGGTAAACAAGGGACAGATGTGTTGGGGATGGAAGCAAGAGGACAAGTTTAGAGGAAAGAGCTGAATCAGAAACTATCAGCAGTCTTTTGGGTAAAAAAAAAAAAAACAGGTTTCTCATAAAAATTGTACGTTCTTAGACGATCACGAACCTCTCTGTGCTCTCTCTTTTTTCCCAAACAGTAAATGTCTGACTAGATTAGTGAGATAGTTTTTTCACTTTCAGTTGTTTTGTTGGGTTTAGGGAAAAAAAATACATTAGTTGGGCTTAGAAAAGGTCAAACCTTACAGTGAAATTGATTGCGCACCATCTATCTTACTGGAAAAAACATCAAAAGGACCCTGAATGAAACGTTTTTTCAGCCTTTTGCACCCGTCACTACAGGCGACGAGGCGATGAGGTGGGCTGCTAACAGTCAAAGCAGGTGCTCTAAACAAGAGAGCAATTACCTGCCCTCGTCGTGAACTGAACCTTTATAGACTCGCTCTGCTCATGTTGTAGATGGGCTTAAGAATGTGCCTGAGTTTTGCCCTTCGAGACTCCAAGTCCTTTTATTCAGAAGTATACGCTCACACAGGTGCAGGGAATTATTAGCGGGGTAAGGGAGATCATGGAGCCGAGCTCCCACACAGTGCTGAGGAGTGGTCCTATTAGGCAGGATAACTGAAAACACCTGCGTGGGTGGCTGCTGAACCATAGAGATTTTTACATGCTATTGACTGCCTGTGTTCCAGCTGCGATACTCATTACCAACAGTTTTCCTTGATCAATATTAATGTGTTCATGATTTATCTCCTGGTGGAATTTACTATTTTTCTTTCCTATGATGGGGCTGAAACAGCATTTGATCATCACAGAATACCGTAAATGAAAAGCAGCTGATGTGCTTTCTCACAAATAAGCATATTCTCCTTATGTTTTACTGTGAAAATGTGATTAATTATTAACAATTCATTCTACATGATCAAAGAACAAATGTCTGTGTCACAGGGATTAGATACTTGAGGATATTTCTATTTAAGGCCTGCGAACATTATCCAGTCTTTGGAAACCAGAGGAGAGACCTGCATGTGTCCTGGAGACTCAGCAGCTCTCACTTTGTGGTGATTGTGTATGTTAGTGTGTGCACTTTTTTGTGCAATATTCCACTTGCCCATACCCTCAAGTACAGTATGTGTGTGCATTCACAATGTGAGAGTGTATTTGTGTTTGTACYGTACAGTTAGACGTGTATTTGTGTGTATTTTGAGCCTGGTGTCTGAAATTCAGGAATGTCACAGTCCTGACCTTGTCCTCCTGAACGCTGTTTGCTTAGTCAGGCCTGCTGCACCTGCCTCTGTCAAGACAAACATCCATCCATCCATCCATCCATCCATCCATCCATCCATCCATCCATCCATCCATCCATCCATCCATCCATCCATTCAACC